AATTCGACAAATCTACACACTTAAGTCTCGGTCTCCACCAGAAATTACTCTGGACTCGCATGATGAAGAAGAAATCCGACAACTGTATTGCAAAGTCTGTGAACCAACATTTCTTCAGCTTCTTATGGAAGTTGGCGCTGTACAGCAGCTGCATATGTTCATTTGTAGCTACGTAACTACACTCAATACTCTTGTCATGGGAATTGATAAACTGGAATTATCGAATAGTCAACGTTCTCAATTAGAGGAAAAGATAAAACTACGACGTACTTTGTTCGAAGCACATTGGTTTGGCGAAGATGAGATGAGCACTAGTGACAATGAAACAACGAAATGCAATGAACTACTTGATGCTATTTGTAGTCATTGTTCAAATGTGGAAGTATTTCGTGCTTTACCTTACAAGCAGTTGAAGGATGACTATCTTGATCGATCTACTAAAGAACAACATAGAATTCTTCAAACGTTGTGGATCGGCGATGACAATCTACGTATCTTGGTCGAAAAATACAAATTACCACTGTTTACCATAGATTGGTTAAACCAACAAAACATAACAAATATTGAGACGATTACTCCTCAACAAGTGAATGACATTATTCAACTTGATTTGAAACAAGCCAAAGCGAATTACGAAAAAACTAATGATAATGAGACCAAACAGCATATTTCCGATGTGCACGATGAGTTCAAAGCTAATCTTATGCATTTATATCATATCGAAACGATTAAACGACATATAGAGTACAAGAAAAATATACAACAACAAAGTGAGCGAGTGGATCAAGCAATAAAGGAACTATCATCGATCAAAAGAATTGAACCGACAACTAGAGAAATGTTTGGCAAGCTACTAACCGACATAGGTAGTAGTTTAGGTGTTAATTGGCACTTTAGCAACGAAGAAATAAGCAATACGACTGAACTAATTGACATCATGATACAGGATCTTTATTCGATTAGAAAAGGTATCCCCACCGACAATGAATATCAACCAGATGAAGAACTTGTCGCATGTCTCAATGACAATGCAGCACTCTTTGGAGTACAATTAATGGAACCCAGCAAGAAAGTTTTTCGTCCGCTTCTATCACGACCTATATATGCTCCGTTAGGAGAACCAATGATTCGAAGCTCTGTCAAAGAGTTTACATTCTCCAGTCTTAATGACTCCGAGCAGTTTATCCAAACAATAATAACGAGCGGTTTGGCTGCAGCTGTACATATGCAATCAAAATTTACAGGACCTTCATCTGATATCAGTGCGAGTCGTGTGATGAACAGCAATACAGTTGTCGAAAATATTTTGCCAGAGGAAACAACAAGTTTTGTCCAAATGAGATGTACTATTATACCCATTCGTTCTTTTCGAATTGGAAAAGAACAAATGAAGTTGTCAAGTGAGACAAAAACTGAAATGAATTTAGTGACTGACCCAGCAACAGCACGCAAGTTTTTGTCTGAGTTTGGTTCCCACATAAGCGATGGTACACACCATGTTGGTGGTATTTTCATAGAGAAGATATGCGTAGAAACTGATCAGAAAACTTCTATAAAGGTTTTGCAACGTATAGTCGCAGATCAATCGAAAAAATGTTTAGAACCTAGTTATAGAGTGTGCGGTTCTCAAACTAAATCTAATTATGATATCAATCTAAGCAAGTCATCAAGTATACACCAAAACTTGGAGCAGACTGCTCATGTAAATTGTAGTGTACAGTCGATCGGTCCTCGTTGTGAAAGTTTAGAATTGTTCCGAGCGACTTTAGAAACGAACAATATGAGTTGGTTTATTATCGATCGAGGAGCTACGTCATCGTTTGTCCCCGTGTGGGAACTCATTCAACAATTGTACCCATCCTCCGATCAAACCATGCATGAAGTGGCTAAACTTTTAAAACAAACTTGGTTAATCGAAACTAGTAGTTCTGTTTCATCAGAAGCACTACTTTGTGAAATCGATCGCGTTCGTCTACTTCAATGCATGCCTATAGTTCATTTACAAACTTCAACGTTCATACCATCCGATACGTCATCAAATGTTCAAAGTCTTACCAATCAGTTGACTACAAAATTGAAAAAAAGCATCGATTCTATACCTTCCAATGTTAATAAAATGCGAGATATCGAATTATTGAATAAGGTGAGATTCTTGTCTTTGTTTGCTTTTCAAATTCGAAAGTCGGAAAACTAACTGAAAGACACTTTTTTTTTCGAGTAATGTATCTGCTGCAATTAAGACCTGAAGATAATTTGACTAAAAATCATACAAGCAATAGTCGAACGGGAACGAATAAAAACAGCTTTTTTTGTGATTCACTCGCTCAGAATAATATTTTTCTCGCATAGATTCAACGATTAGTTGCAAAAATCTATTATTTTTATCCGCTCACAATGCTAAATGATCGCTGAATAGTTCTTCTGCATTGAAAACCTTTTCATTCGATCACTATAATTTCATATACGATGCTTGTCCTACTTGCACCATATCCTCCTTTGTGTAAGTTAAATTCAGATGAATGCGGAAAACATTATTGAGGTGAAGGCTCTTGTACACTTTCCCAATGCAAACGAACTGTCATACTTCCCAATAGTTAAGTGCCTTGTTTGAGAGAATATTTCAAATTGAAAGAGCTTTACTCAGTCAAAAAACTGAATCAATTAAATATATCGGGTGGCGCATAAATAATTATCCTGTTTATATTTTCAAAGTTTTTCCTCTATTATCTCTTTGATTAAAACACATCTTTAATCAAAAGATAGCGCTTGAAATTCTGCACAAAATGATATGCTTTATTTAACGAATACACTCTCCTCTATTTTTTTGAATAAACGTAATCGTACAGTAAAATCAAGTGCAGAATGTAAAATTTGTTGTTTTTCAATTTTTTTTGACAGAACATTTTATTCCATGTATTAATGTTACTTTTGTTGTTACGTGGTCCCAATTCATGACTTCAGCTGGTTCATTTCATAAGCTATAATCTAATGGTAATAAATCAGTTGAATTCGGCGGTCAACGGGTCTTCGGAATAAATGCAGGAAGTGATCAGCGCACCACTTCTGAGTCAGGTGATGCGTGTGAGATCTTGCACCATCTTGCTGATATGTCCAATCATTTCCCAACATTTTTTGTCGGATTCTAGAGCTGTTTGAAGAACATCCTTGAAGTATCTTTCTGCATCCATTGTTCCATCTTCTAAGATTATCGGCATCGTCAACCCTTCATCACATACACCTAACCATACCATCACCTTTGACGGGCATTTTTCTTTTTCACGGATGGCACCTTTCTTGTCTGCCGCTTTCCTGTTTACGTCTCAGACCCAGTCGTTTTGGGCATTATATATCCCATCCAAATCGAAAAATTTTTCGTCGGTAAAAGGCCATTTTTTGGTATCATCTTTGGTATATCTGTTTAACATCCAATTTGTAAATTTAATCCTCTTTTCTTTTGAAGATCAGCTAGTTTTTGGTTGCTTAATTGTCTTGTATGGCTAACAACCAAGATCTTCTTGAAATATTCATTTCAATAGCCAATCTTCTTGTTGACACCAGTTTTTTTCTGAGTTAGACGCCATTTCACCTTTAAGATATTGGCCTTTGTCCAAACTGTGCGTGGAGAACCGGAAAAGTAAGACAGATTGATAGAACCAGTGTCTTTGATCATTTTAATCAATAGTTTAATTGTTTTTAATGATACTACTCCACCTAAATCGCAATAAATTTTTGATGGTCCATCACCATTTTTATATTTTTTACAACTGTTTGCATTTCTTTACTTTTCATCTATTTTTAAATATATACAAGACAGTTTCTAAATCCAATCGTATATATCTATGTAGAGAATTTCAAGCGCCATCTTTTGATAAAAAAAGTATTTCAATCAGTGTGACAATAGAGGAGAAAATTCGAAAATACAAACAGGGTAATTCTTTATGCACCACTCGATATACTAATGCAACGCCTCAAGGTAAACTAAACTGAACTTTACTGAACACAAAATTTAGAGCAAAAACTTTTGTTACATTTTTATTCTTTGAATAAGAATAGTTTTTAAAAATTTGGAAATCGTTTATCAAACCTCATGTAGTCTTCCAATCTATGTATATTAGATTACAGCAGTCATTGAAACGATCATTCGCTACAGTCATCAAAATGGTCACGATTTGATGTCGATTGTTGTTGTGCAATCTCCAATGAAAGAGTTTCTGAACAATATCGCCCATTGTGAAGATAATGAAAGGATGCAAAAAGTACACGCTTACTTGCGCACTGTTTTCTCAGAACAGAGATTACAGCACTTTGCTAAATGTAATATTGAACTCGATCAATCATTCATAAAATTCGTGCGTCGAACGGGAATATCCTCCTCCCAAGTGGATAAAGACACAGGATATTTGAGGCAAATTGATGAATACTGTAATGCTCCTACAATTGCAATATCAGAATTACCAGGGCATCTAGAACGTACAATAACTAATCTAGATCCAACAAAATTTACTTTGGTTACCGACACTTCAGCACAGGTTGCATTGTTGATCAAGAAAAGCATTTTAGGAGCTAAAAAAACTAGCATGTCTTCTTGGGATCAAAATACTTTACAACGCATTTGTACCATTCTTGAGAGATTCGGTTGGTCAACTACACAAGAAGAGTTCTCCTCTCCGCTTGATGAAAATGGTATATTTGCCCTAGTGAAGCAAATGAATGAAGCTATCAGCAACAGTTGTTTATTGCTAGATTCTAAGCCAAACGCGGATTTGTTGGAACCCGTCACAATTAAACAAATACAAACTCAAAGTACAGATCATAAGCGAAAATTTTCACACAGATACTCTGACTGGGCTATCGACCGGCCTCTCGCATCGAACGACAAACCAATCAAGCGTCTTATCGATATTCTTCGTCACAGACTGGACATCAAACTATTTACTTCAGTAACAAGTTCGCATCAATCTTCCAGCAACAACACTAAAGCGTTGGCACGCAATTTACTAATGCAAACAACATCGCAAAATCTATCGCCGGTCAACGCAACAGCTTATGTGCCAACGAGTTCTCCGGGCAATACAGCCTATGATGCTCTCATCCAACTAGTTGATACGTCTGATGTACTGAGTCAAGTTGAACTATTTCGTCTTTTGTTTGAACGGCGATCGCCTGTTCCAATACTCACCCCAACACGATCTAATCCTCCTTTCTTTTACTATGCAAAACCTTTAACATTCGCAAGTGTCAAGTTGAGTACGGAAAATTATTGTAATTTAGGCTCAAATACAACACTCTATCGGATCGCTATTATTTCAATGCGACGTGCTGGCCAAAGTGAAAGCGTTGAATTTTTGAAGCAAGTTTTTGCGTGTAATTCTCTTGCACCATCATCCAGTGAATTTCTTAAATGTTTACCAGAAAACAGTTGCATTGCTGAGATGGGCGTTGGGTTTTGTCCAAAAATGGAGCACGAAGGAGGCGACAATCAATCTATATTTTCTTATAATGAAGTTCTTGTCTTACATGTTATTGGCAATTATATTTCTATATTTTCGTATATTCATGATTTTGCTGATCTTATAATTGTCGAAAGTCATTCGAGCAGCTCTAATGAGTACAATCCACCTATTCCAGTGAAAGACTCTCAGAAAGTAATCATTTGGAAAAGTGCTAGTAGCGCACGTGAACCATATGTTTCTCCTAAACGTTATATTTGCCTAAAAAGCACTATTGCTCAAGCTCGTTCTCACATTCATGCCATTATCGACGATCTCACAAATCAAACAGGTAGCATGAATCGAATTAGTGTGCAAGATATTAAACATTCTACTCTATATGAAATCGATAGTATCAATTGGATTAATGTTGAAAATGAAGTGAAAAACCATAACTATCTCACGGTTCGCAGATACGAATTGCTGTTGCAACAACTTTTCGCCAAAGAAGTTGAGTATCTTCGAAGCAAAACTAAGGCTCAAACAGCGTATGCAGAGCGAGAAAAAATTGATTGCAATATACGAGAATGTCAGCGGCGTCGACAGTCCTTAGCTCCGGCTATGTACCAACATTCATTGATCAAATGTTTTGTTGGTATTCTTTCTCAAACCAATGATCAAGTACGTACAGTTGGAATGTGTCAGTTTGTAAAACATCTCGAATTTTATTCAAAAAAGGCTCTGCAAGAGCTTTCACGAAATCAACAAGAAGCACACGAAGCACTTAATAACGATAGTCAAAATAAAGAAAAGAGGGAAGCCTATTATGAAGCCAAACGCGTATATGCAAACTCACTTATCACCATTGAGCATCTTTGGAGAGAATTGAGTCACATTTACGTCTCGAATAAAACTCGCTATGCCAACCTTCCTATCCTGGCTGCTCAACATTTGCTTGATGGATTTTCTTTGGAACTACTCGACGGTGATGCCGGAATGTTGGAACAGTCATGGTTCAATGCAGTTTTTAAAGAATTGAATACAATTCTCACAAAAAAAGACAAAGACAAGGGCCCATGTAGAATTTTTGTTCTGAGTGTTATGGGTGTTCAGAGTAGTGGAAAATCAACTCTTCTCAATTTAATGTTTGGTACTCGTTTACGAGCAAGTGCTGGCATGTGCACTAGAGGAGTTAACATTCAATTGTTAAAAGCTGAAGATCGTTCTGAATACGACTATGTTCTTATTCTTGATAGCGAAGGAGTACGAGCGCCTGAGTTCAGTGGTTTGGAAGGCGCCACCTGGCGTGACAATCGTTTAGCGACGTTTAGTATTCTACCTGCTGATGCTACAATTATAATGATTAATAATGAAGAAGATACTGCTGCTCGAGAAGTTTTGCCCATTGTCATGCTTGCTTATCAACAAAGTGAATTGGCCGCCAAATCAACAAATCAATTGAAAACAAAATTATTTTTCGTCTACACACGTATTGACACGAATGAGAAGAGTAAACTAACGGGCATCGCCCAGTCTCTTTCGTTGGAACTAAGAAAAGCGGCCGCAGATCTCGAGCATGATCAACATCATGGCACAAAAGAGTCGAACAATGACGAACAAAATTTAGCTTCTGAATTGTTACATGATTTTCAGACGACAGACATTCAATTTCTTGGAAAGCTAAAAGTGCGTGATAAGCCACCTGAAGATATACCAGAATTTGATTATGGACACGATATTGTCAAATTGAATGCCTATATATATTATCGCCTTACAAAATCATCTCCCCGTTGGCAAGCCCGTGAATTGTCCAAGTTTGCTGAATACATGAATGCTATTTGGCAATGTGTACAGACTGTTGACTTCACGCTATCATTCAAAACGGTGCTAGAAAGGTGGGCATATGAAGATCTTCAAGCATATTGTCGCGAAATGTATGGCAAATTGGCATCTTTATTTTCTTCAGAATATGATAAACTCGAACCCATGATTTTGACTAGATTGGATGATTCGTCACTCACAGTCAACCATTGCGAGGGTATTATTGAGGAGTTTCAAACCAAATTCACTGCATCGGTACAAACTAATGTGGAAGAACTTACTCAAAAATTTTTTCATTCCATCAATCATCAAAAAGTATGTTCGACTGAAAGGTTTATGCTCACTTACAGATCATGTATCATTCTAGTCTTGGGAGTCATGGAGTGTCGATACCAAGCACGGGTGGCAGATTTTCACTCAAAAACAAACAACAGATGTTACGTTGCGCATTCGCCAGCTTATTACGAACCGGTTGCTGTTTGATCAAGAATTCACCAATTATCAGAAAGTTTTACGCGTTCTTATTAGTGAATCATTTCAAAATAAAAATGAAGAAGAGCGGAAGAGTATTGCAGGTGATCTCGATCGTCAGTTAAAGGAATTTAACGAGATTTTCAATGCTATTCTTCATATTGTACGTAAAAAACATCCAGTGATCAGTGTCGAAAATCAAATACACGGCGTCTACACTCTAAATAGCGTTGGCAAAGATTTCGATTTTACCGAACAGCATCGCGAATCCAAATCAGGAGTAGTTATCAAAACAACTCGCTCTAATTATAATATAGTCAGAGCTCTATGGAAAAAAATTATATCGACGGTTTCTCGATCAGATGAACGCAAACAAAAGGAAGAAACAAAATTTTTACACGAACTAGAAAGCTATGTGAATGACCTTTTAAAGCCAGTCACACGGTATATTGATCATGTTCCTACTGAGGCCATTCGAATGACCCAGAAAAAACTTGATGAGTATAAAGTAAAACGAGATGAACTGAAAAGGAAAGCACATCAACTTGTATATGCTCAACTTGTCATTCAACTAAGCACAATTCAAAATGAATGGGAGAAAGTTCACTCGATTGCTGTTCGTTTGGATGCTGCACGTGCTGATATGTGGAATTATTACAAGAAAACTGTTCAAGGTATTCATGGTATTAGTTTACTTAAGTCGGAACTGGTGTCTGTATTCAAAAGACATTTTGAGCGCGGATTTCTTAAATTTTTACAACAACATGTCATTACCAATCTCACACATGAAAGCTGGATAGGTAATGATCAGATAGTGCAAGCTATGACTAATTTAAACTTGATTAACTTAATTCGAAAGGGTGATATCGAGAGAGTGATTCGGTTGATATCAAACATGGGTGAATTTTATTCGACTATCGTGGAAAATCTTTTTCAAGAGAAAATTCAAAGTCTCAGCAGAAATGACTGGAACACATATCATGATGTTCTTTCAAATGCTATTCAATCGGCAATGTCGGGCGCGCTAGTTTATCGAAATCAAACATACTCAAAAGAGGAAACCGATCTACAGTTGATTCGCCAGGGCCGTACAGATTATTTTCTGTGTACTCTATCCCATGATTTGTTGGGACAAAGAATGACAGAATTCAGCGATGATATTAACGCATTAAATGTTACTTCTCTGACCGTTTGTGACTCTGAAGAGGATGAAGTGTGGCTTCAGGTCAAATATGAAGTGATAGAAAGTATACCTGCAACGTTGCCATATGATTATCTTCGTCCAGAAAATATCAACTCCCTAATAAAGTTGATTCGTGATGAACTCGTCAATCGACACGCACGTGGTGGAGTTACGCTACGATGTTCTGAACCGTGTCCTTTATGTGGCTCTCCTTGTCGAGCAGCAGCTGGTCATACAACGGATCCATCTGAGGATAAACAGCGTCATGATTGTGACCATCAACCAAGTGGTCTTTTCGGAACCTATGATTATAATACGAGACAACTTGTTTCAGACTCTTGCTCTACTAATATTCTTGGAAACTACACCTTTCCATTTACTAGTATACGCGATCAGCGGCCATATTCCCAATTTGGAATTTGTTTTCCGACATGGAAACAGCCACCTCCGTTAACAACAAATGCAAATGAAGTTGGCCAATATATCTTTTATCATTATCAAAACGAGCTAGCTCAATATCATAAATGTGAACCTTGTACTAATGTTCCGTCATCATTTAATCGATCTTTAGACGAACTGGAACAGAAGCAAAAGAATGTTATCGTTGGCATAACATCTGAATGAATGGGTCTTCCTTCACCCTATTTGACAATAATAACTATGATATATTGCTTCATATAAATAAAATCCTGCGTAGATTCAAAATCTCCAAGTTTTCTTGAACATCTCTAATCCATCAATCAATGCATTGAGATCATTCACAGATTGGGTGTGGGTGTGGGTGTGGGTCTGGCTAAAAACATAAACAGCATCCCACACCCACACCCATCCACACTCACGCTCACACCCACACCGGCACACATCCGGCACACTCACACCTACACCCACACCCACACCCACACCCACACACCCATACATCCACCACACGAACACCCACACCCACACTCACCCACACCCTCACCCACACCCACACACCCACACTCACACCCACACTCACACCCACACCCGCACCCACACCCACACCCACACCCACACCCTTTCTTCTATATAATGTATGTATGATATGAATATTTAATGTGATGAGTATATTTTCAATAGAAGACGTAAATTCAACATCGATGATATTTAATGAAGAACTTTTTGAATCGAAAAGAACAAGCAATATACTATAAATATTTTGCTATTATGCGTTGTTTCTTCTGTAGTTAAATTGTATAATTTTCTTGCTTGTTGACCATTGCTGTTATTAGTTATCTTTTGACAATAGAGGTAAATCAATCTGTTGATTTTAACTTTTCGTTTTCTGCATGTGACTATTTGTGAAGGTGAAATGCTATGGATGTAATATGCTTGAAAATAAATATGAGTGTAAAGTTTAATTAGTCAACATGATTCGTGTCCTTGATTGAAATATAAACACTTATTATGATTCTCTACATTACAGGTGAGCACGAGGCGATAGAGTACAAAAGTAAAAAGACCCGAAAATTAAATATACAACGCACATGACTTAACATACAATTACATAGAAGTGAAAACAGAATAAACAAATCAGACTATATTCTTTGATAGTGATACGAAAACTAATTAAATTCCTATCTAGCTACCACTGTTATCATCTTATTTTTCCATATTAATGTCAAAGAAGAGAAAAGAAAGTTAAAGTGTGATTATGATTTCAATGCTTTGAGATATCTGTGGATGTAATGACTCTGTAAATTCTAATCAATAAGCAACAGCAAATGATCCTATGAAGATATACTTACGGTACTCTATATAGTGATCGTAAAAGAGTGGCTATCTACGGCATATCTTACGCAGCTCTATATGAACATGATACGATCTGTAATACTATGTAAGTTTCATAGGATAAAATATGATGATCTAGAAATAATGGGACAAATTTGGGAGCTTTTGGTCACATAATATTAAGTGATTTCACTCGAAATAAGTCAAATATAACTGCATTAGCTCTCATTTTGCTTGTATTAAATAGTAAAAGCCTTTTTAATTCTGCTAGCTGACATATACAAATAATTATTCTTTATACGGTAAGGAAGGAATGTAATATTGTTATTCTTGACAGATAAATATCTGTTTCATGTCACATTCCACTCATTTTTGATGGCTTTTTTATGAAAAAAATTGATTATTCTTGCAAATCTTATACAAGTAAAAAAATAGTACAGCATTGATAGTAGGAAAGGACATAAAAATGAAAAAGTTTGATTCTCTCATTTTTTTTTCAGAACTAAACGAAAGCACCTAAGACATTCATATTAGAGATATTCATCAAGATTTCTACCAAATAGAATGGTTTTAAACCTCTTGTCAGGTGAGCACTTAAATATGTTCCCTCGTGAGTCGATCATTTTTTTTATCGAGTTATTCAACTCTATCATGTCAACATTAATATAAACTGTTCTCGTATGACATCTATATGTCATACTCTATGTTTACAATAAATGTAGACATGTAATCCGAGCGGCTGAACTACCGCCGCTGAAAGTCAAAAACAAAGTTAAACATTTTCAGCCGTCATCGCTGACAGAGAAAAGATTTACTAAAAACCATCTCGCTGCCAATCAATCTATCCTCTTATACCTCTAAATATATGATGATATGATGCGCCGATAGAATTCTTTCTTTCCTCTTGTGTATGTATATATATATATTAAACAGTGGGGGATATTGTTATTCTACAGTTGTATATATATCAGTCTAACAATGAATGTACCATTAAATGAAATTCAATTTAAAATAAACAGTGAAGATAAAATGTTTGATACTATTATCAAGCATAATATTAAGGATAATAAAGTAAGTTAATCTCTTTGTGTTTGTTTCTTTTCATTTCTATCTTCTTTATTAGATTGTCTATTCAAGTTTTATCGATTTACTACCCAAAGAACTTCGAGAAGATGATCCATATTTAAAAAAACCATCTGAAGAAGAATTAAGAAAGGTAAATCATATAATGATTATTAATTTATATCAATTTCTTTTATTTAGAAAACAGAAAAAAATACGTCAAGCTCTCGAAGTTCTTGTATCATCTAAAGTATCAATTGCTATACCTATTCAACATGCAAAAAAACAAACACCTGTTCAATACATTCATTATACACCATCACAACAAGGACCTACTTTTAATTCTGGTGCTAAACAACGTATTATTCAAATGGTTGAAGTTCAAAAAGATCCTATGGAACCATCTCGATTTAAGTGAGTAAAGAAAATTATATACATCTTCTCTATTGATTTCTATTTAATTTAATAGAATTAATAAGAAAATTCCTCGTGGATCTCCAAGTCCTTTAGTTCCAATTCTTCATTCACCAAAACGAAAAATTACTGTAGAAGACCAAGAAAATTGGAAGATTCCACCATGTATTTCCAATTGGAAAAATGCTAAAGTATGATTGGTTTATCTTAGTTACTTTATTTGACAATGAATTACTTCTTTTAGGGTTATACAATTCCACTTGATAAACGTTTAGCAACCGATGGTCGTGCTCTTCAAAATACACATATCAATGAAAATTTCGCTAAACTTGCTGAAGCTATAAACATAGCTGAATTCAAGGTGAGATTTATCTTATGAATTGAAAAAAAAAATATTTCCTTTTTTATTTGTTTTTATTTTAGGCTCATGAAGCAATTAATATGCGTGCTAAAGTGGAAAAACAAATAGCTAAGAATCAAAAAGAAGAAAAAGAAGAACAATTACGTGAATTAGCTCGTCGTGCTCGAACAGAACAAGCAGGCCAGCGTTCTATTAGTAAATTATTTATTTATCTATTTGAAATAAATGCCTGTTTTTTTTCTTTTGATTAGATAAGTATGATGATCAAAGTGCTGAACGTGATCAAATTCGACAAGAAAGACAAAAAGATCGACAACATGATGCTGCTCTTCAACGAGCTGGAGGCGATAAACAGTAAAAAAACAAATAATCTAAAGTAAAATTTTATTCGTTTTCTTCCTCTTTTTATTTTAGAAATCGTCCAAAAGAACGTGATATCAGTGAAAAAATTGCATTAAGCACACAAACTACAAGCAATACAGATGTTCAATATGATCAACGTCTATTTAATATGTCGTCGGTAAGAATTTGTTTTTTTCATTTTCTTTCAATCATTAAATTGCTTTTTTTTCTATTTGGACGGTTTGGGTAATAGTTTGGGTGATGATGAATCTTATAATGTATATGATTAACCTTGGAATTCTTCAACTGCTGTTACTTCTCAAATTTATAAACCAACAAAAACAACAAAAGATAATTTTGATGATACTAAAGCCTTAACTAATGCTTCTAAACGGTTCGTTTTTTTTTCTTTAATTGTTGAAAAAGTTTTAATTTTATTTATTTTTTTATTCTAGATTCAAACAAGAACATAGTTTCAAAGGAGCTGATCGAGCAACACCACGCCAGGATTCTATGGAATTTCAACGTGACGAAAATCCATTTGGTTTAAGTGATTTCTTCCAAGAGATACGACGTAGTACTGGTATTTCAGCTGTACCATTTAATCAATATTCTAATTTATCATATAAACATGGCCATGCAGATGATCGAGATGAGCGAACTCGTAAAAAAAGTCTCAAGAAATTAAAAAAAACTTTATTCGTTTGTTTTTGCGTATTGTGTCTCATTATTTCCTCATCTTTTCTTGTTCTTCTTCTTTATCTTTCTATTATTTTTTAAATTATATAAAAAATTCTTTAAATAAATTAGGTAACTATTATTAGAAGTTTTTTTCTTTGTACAATTTCTCAATAGAATACTTATTGATAGAAATCAGAGAACGTCGCAGGACGGGTTTTTTTATCCTGCAGGATACATGGCAGGACATTATTACTTAGCCGTTCTGCTTTGCAGAGCGCAGGACACGATACAAAAAATTTCGCCCTGCAATGCAGATTCTACAGAACCGAAGAGTCGTCCTGCGTCCTGCCTGCAGAACGATTTTTGAATTCTCTTTTTTGACAAGAATGAGACCTTGTAGGTATATGAAATCCGATGTCAAATATCATAGAGATACTATTTATTTAGAAAAAATCATTTACGATAACTATGTTAATCAACATAGCATATATTTTCTAGTGCAAGTGAAATGAACGAAAAAAATTGATATTGATAAGCTATATATATATATAGGAATAGAAGAGGAAAGATAATAATACAACATTTTTTTTTATTTAGCAGTTGAGGGGATCTATGCCCGATAAGACCTAACAGTACAAAGAAAAGTTCACCTTGATACATCAGTATGTAAAAAAAAAAATAAAATAAATGTGGAAATCTCGGATTTATATCCGAGAGTTATGTGTACTTCAAAAAGTGAATGAGACAAATCGGTCATCCTAGAATGTCTGGATATAAAAATTTGCGTGGCAAATCTTTTCTATAAACCCTTGAATTCCATTGCCTACTGTTCAACCGTAGGACTTAGGAGCGTATAGACCTCAAATTTCACCTGTTCGGCTTTATTTAGCCTGAGAAAGTCGTTTTTCCTATAACATGATTTCTATTGGTCAATACTCAACCAATGGTGCTTCGAGCCAAGTTTAGTGCAGATTCTAGTTCTCCGCCCTAGACAACCTTCGATTATCATCTCTATGGTCGAAAGATAGAGCTCTAATTGGTGATCAATTAGAGCGTGCACAAAAACAGAACCGATTGTTCCCTATTTATCTTTGCGATGGGTGAGATAATCTTCCTGTTTCCTCATGTTTTATATATCATTTTGTAGCTCTTGAAATTCTCTATCGAATGGTATTTAATAGTTTGGGTTTTAATTGACTATGATAGGAAAAGTCTTTTACGAAAGCGGCGATGGGTCGATTTTTCTTTAGGAAGCTATAGGGAAAAATGGGTATTTTTGCAATAACTCAGGAACGGCTCGGCCGATCCTTCTCATCTTCGAACTCGACCGAGATATTGTAAAGACTGAACCATATAGAAAATTTCATCGTGATCGGACTCTCCTTTCGAAAGTTATCGTGCAAACGGCCGGACATACTGACCGATTCTAGAGTGTACTCACTTTTTGAGTACACAAAAAGAAACAAGGGAGGGTATAAATAAAAAAAAAAAAAAGAAAAAGAGAGAAGGAACCAAGAGATGATAATAACGAAAAAAAACAGAAGCTAGAAGAAGCACAACAAGAAGTAAACGTAAACAAAAGAAACAATAGAAAAAGAAGTAGTATCAATTAAAAGGAGAACCACAGTACCTAAACCGACAACGAAAGAAAAACACGAGCAGAAGATAGATCAATCTGAGTAAGCAAAAAGACTAGATGCAGAACAACAACGACTTGTTTTAATCATAATCAGAGAATGAGTAATGAGGGGAAAGGGATAATAATACAACATTTACAATGTATTCCATAGAAACGATTGACAATGAGAAAAACATTTTTTTATTGTTTGTTCTTGAACTTTTCATATGAACGAATAAATAATATATTTCTTCTTTATTAGGGATGTATACACAAATGTCCTTAAATTGAATGTAATAGTAGGGAAAACAAAAGCAAAGAAGGAGGACTGATATATCGATTAAAGAAAAACAAGGGAGAAATAAAGATAATAAACATCAGGCTGCTACGTATCATAACAATTGAGAAGAAAATGCAAGTTCATTCAGTCAAACACCTGGAAAAGTGAATAATATTAATTTCGTTTTAAGTCAACATTTGTTCATACTAAGCAATTAAATCACCAATGAGAGTGGAGAACGCGCTGCTCTGATGTAGGCAAAGTGCATAATCGAAAATGTTAATGCAACGAGAGATGTCTGTCGTGAGGGTACGATGTTTACCAAGATATTATTAAATGCGTTTTTATAATCATAAAATTTATTGAACCAACTTCTGCACATAGTTAATCTGATGTTCTTAGCAAAAACTATGCAGATTCTTAACAACACTAGTTCTGCAAACTTCTTTAAGACGTACTTGATATGAAAAGAAATGATTTAAAAAGAACTAAAAATTTAATCGATAATTTATTTTAACGAGATAGAATAAAATATTCCATCACAATTTTCATGGCGAAAAAAAGATTCCATGATAATTATTTACAATGAAACAAGCAAAAGAATCCACGAAGACTTCTGTAAAAAAAAAGCAAGTTAGCGCTTGTCTAACATCAATAACATCTATTATTAAAATATTACAGGGTTCTTTGTGAACTGTTTTTCGAATATTCCATTCAATTTTATTAAGGTCATTTTTGTATACGCATATCTCGATAAAAAAGTGTACAAATATGAGCTCAAGCTATGTGTATAGCTTATTTATTTTTCTGTGATACTTTTTTTGATACCGTCCTACAGGACGCAGATATTGTCCTGCAGGTCCTGCGTCAAAAAAGAAGGGTGTGGGTGTGGGTATGGGTATGGGTGGGGTGTGGGTGTGGGTGTGGGTGTGGGTGTGGGTGTGCCTGTGGGTGTGGGTGTGTGTGTGGTTGTGATTGATTAATAGAATCCTATTAACACCCACACCCACACCCACACCCTAAAGGTTTCGAGTTTTGCAACGAAATTTGAACCTTTTTAGGTTTTGTACTAAACCCTAAAAAGCTCTACCGAACCTTTAACAAAGTCTTTTTGATCGATGACAATCATTTTGAAGGGATCAGTGGTTTATACGAAATCCCTCCAAGGGTTTAGAATTCGTTGCAAAAAAGGTTCGGTATGATACTTATTTTTTTCCAGTGCTCAACAGCAAGTAAAATATCTATTCAAGCGATGCACCAATACCGACTTTCGAAACGAAATTCAAATAATTATAAGGTTAACACAAATATTTCAAACAGATTTCTTAATATTTTGATTTAGACTTGAATCTATGATTGTATCAGATTTCAGGTAAGTATAAAGTATTATTTCAATATAAATATGTTTATGTCAAAATTACTGTCATTTGGATGTCAAGGAACAAATATGCACGCAAATTACCCTCAATTTTTATTCGATAATTACCGATTTACTTTTTATAATAATTCCCACATATTTATTAGAGAAATCTAAATAGATATGTGACATGCAATCAGTAATGGGTTTATTCCTTTTGTTTTCATGACGTCAGTTAATGAAAGAACGAAAGAAAAAAAGAAAGCAATTTTTCTCTGCACATTGCAAATAAAAGGCCGAGAAACAAAATAATTTTTCTTTGATTAAACTTTGCAACTACCGCATAATCGTAATCAACTTCACCACACAGTAAAAAAAGCTTTGTTTATTTTGAATTGTTTCAAAACTACAAAAAATGGGTATGATAACTTTTTATTTGACACCTTTTCATAGATCTAATCTTGTACAAATTTAGGGAACCTGAACTGTGCCCCGTGTAGAAATATGAAGGAAGATAAAGGCTCGCTAAAGCGTAAAAAGTCTTCAATAGATTCGAATGCTAATAGTGGTTGTAAACAAACTTCTACATTACCAAAAGTAACTGTTAATGGTAAATATTTTTTGATGAGCAAAAGCAGATCTTATCTCTTATTTTTCTTATTTTAAAAGCAGATACTTCATCATTATTATCAAACAAACGAGTTAAAATCACTGATCAACCAACCGATGGAACTACTCTACCTGGGTCTATGACAGTATGCGAATATCAAAATCCTCAATTAGATCAATGTAAAATGACAGAGTCTGGTTTATCGCCTTGTTTCAAAGCACCCATCGAACAAAACTGTACTACATTTAAAGAATCAATTGATGAAAATATTTTAACAAAACAATCTGATGGTGGTACATTGACTGAAATAAATAAAAATGATACTAATATTGCATGTATTGATATGGGAATTAAAAATAACTGTATTATTAGTACTGAACAAAAAGAAAAAACTTCAGTGATATTACCATCAAATGACACTGCAATCGGTTAGTATCTTAATTGTATTGTAAAAATATTTTCTTTTACTTTTTTTAAGAAATTTTATCAAACGTCACCGAAAAATCATATTTAACTGTTAAACATATACCTTCAAATCGTGAAATACAAATTGAATTTGCTGAGAATGATACAATATTTACGTTAAAAGAAAAAATTTTTACTCGATTTCAATTTGGTAATAGTATTGAAGATTTACAATTAAAAATCGACTCGAAATCGATTGATACAACCTATTACGAATGTTCATTAGCATCTTGGAATGTATCACCAACGTCATCAATTACAGTTAATAAAAAAGAAAAAACTAAACCACTTATCAAGAAAAATGGTCTTTGTGGTCTACGTAATTTAGGTAATACATGTTTTATGAATAGTGCTCTTCAATGTCTTAGTAATGTTGAATTATTGACCGATTATTTGCTTAATCTTGAAAATGTTCAAGGTGATGTTGCTACAGCTTATTATGAATTTATTCAGAATGTTTGGAGTGATAAAACATTGTTTGTTCCTAAAAAACTCAAAAATGTTATCGCTCATTATGCACCACAATTTGCTGATTATGATCAACAAGATGCACATGAATTTATGATATTTCTACTTAATCAACTTCATAAAGATCTTAAACAAGAACAACAAACAACAACTATTATATCAAAATTATTTCATGGTTATGCAGATGGAATAACAACTTGTTTGACATGTAAAGGTGTTCGGCGTACATCAAATATGATTAGTTTTATTCCTTTATCTTTAGATAGTGATAAAAAAAGACGTCACTTTAAAGTCACTTTTGATTCTATTCATCCGATTAGTTTATCTGTAGAAACGAATGCCAATGGTTTTATTGAAGATGTTGTTGAAACATTTATTAATGAACTTCAACTGCAAGAGAAATGTTTAACAGAAGATCTTTTTGAACGTTTAAAAGTGATATCGACAAGTAGCAATAAAGAATTATCATTTGATACATCACTTAATAATATTCTTGATACTGAATTAAAATTTATTGAACAAGATCAAGTTTTAAGAAAATCCAAAATAAAAACGAATTCTGAAAAGAATTCTCTAGAACTAATCGATTGTTTACGTGAATTTATTGCACTTGAAACACCAAATAACCTTTGGTTTTGTAAAAATGAATGTAATCAACCTGTGCATGCAGCCAAACAAATGTTATTATCAATTTTGCCACCTGTACTAATAATACAACTTAAACGATTTACTGAAAATAATGGACATATGCGAAAATTGGATACTTTTGTCAATTTTCCTATCACTGGACTCGATCTTAATGAATTTATGATTGATCGACAAGAAAAATGCTTATACGATCTTATTGCTGTTGCAAACCATATGGGCACAGTCAGTCGAGGTCATTACCATGCTTATGCTCGACAAACAACAACTAAACCGATTCAATGGTTTTGTTTCGATGATGAACATATTTCACCTATTGATGAAAGTGATATACTCTCTAACAGTGCCTATATACTTATCTATGTTAGACGTGAACATGAGGAAATATCTAATTAAAACGTTTTTTTTTTATTTTAATATAATCGAGTTTTATATTTCATTTTTTGTTTCGATTCAACGAAGAATTTTTTAAAATTATTTTATAAAGATTGAAGTGTGGTTGTTAGAAAATGAAAAGTAAATTCTCCTATCTCTCATAAATCAACAATAAATTGACTATCGTATCGTAGCTACCAAACTGCAAGTGATCTATGATAAAAAAGACACGAATAGAAAAAGAAAAGAAAACAAAAGCACTTTTCATTCTGTAACAAGATTGAATACATGTGGCGTATGGTTTACAAATATTTTGTTTTCCCCACAATATATGAATGAAATTTTCAAAGACTTTGATTCTATGGTATAAGAACAAACGTCATTACATTATTTTTTAGCACGTGATATTCAGTTACACAAAAAACTAGACTTTTTAGCAGTTTATGTAATTATTGAATATTGAATCATTTTGTTCAGACCCTCATTATTTGTCATTCGCTCTCACACAAGCATTAATAAATGATAATATAACGAAGAGAACATGAATTTTAGGCAACAAAAAAGTATTTGAAGAGTCGTTACGATTTAACCTTTGTCACTTGTTTATCTGTTTTTGCTTTCTGATCGTCACTGAGATAGTATTATTAGGACATACGGGATGTCCTAACAGTTTATCGAAAACGAAATGTAAATATCTCTCATACAACTCGAGCAGTTTCAACATTTTTTTAAATAATAAGCTAGTCTATTCTTTGAAGTTCTACAGACTTTAAATTCAAGCACAGTCTAGTTCTTAGCTGTCAACACGTATACATGATCGAACTGTTTTACGCAGCGGACACTTCGGCAGATGTTGCCTTGCTCATTTATTTCGATTGATGTTGATGAATAAACTTATCGAATCTATCCGTCGAATTACAAACTCAAAGAACAAAGGCTTCAAGGCAAAGAAAAAAAAAGATGTGATTCACAGTGATAATAACAATCAGAATCGTCTTGACCATGACCGCGACAAAAAATACTATTGATACTAGTTGGTAGATAGATGTATCTAGAAGCTTTTGTTGAATTACCATAACCCTTTAGAAAAAGAGAATTGTGAATGATTACTTTGTTATATATTTCATTGTCTATGAAATATTATAAGAACAAACTGGATATCTATTATTATTTATGTTGTTGCAAAAATTACAGTTGGATTTAAGTTGTAACCGATTCGCTTACTGTCTGAAACTAAGTCAATATCAGCGTGAGGTAGTTATAAGGACTTCGGTCTATTTCTAACATCTTTCTTTTCCATGTTGGTTTCTTCAGTTTTTCATTGTGTTGTGCCTTCTTACTTCTCATTCTCTTTCCAGGCATTATAGTCACTTCAAAATGTCACAAAAAGTTAGCACGATCCAAAAAAAAACTGATTGGCGGAAAATTTTGTTAAAAATCAAAAAGATGACGAATGAACATTTCAAGACCTTACGTTTACTTTTCATTCGCGTATAAATAGTACCTTTACCTGCAAACAGCGCATTCTACAGATTTGATACAATTTAAGACACTAAAAGGACAGTTAACGTAACGATGATGTTTTTATTGGGTTGCCACATTAGAAGAATGCGGAAAAAGGGTTTGGTTAGTATGAAGGAATACACGTGTATTACTTTTTTTTGATCTATTTTTTAAAGAAAAATCTTAACCACACTCATTGACTAGTCGTACAGATATATAAAATCAAAAGATCTTTTCTCATTAATTGTTGAGCTGCTTGAAGGTTATAATAATTATGATCTTTCTTCATATTTCTCAATTTCTGCCATAAAAAAAACAAGTCATTCACTCACAATTGTCATAAAAGTAATTGCACGATTTGATGGAAGATTTATGAGATCAATGAATATTATTCATCATTTTGTGGTTCAACAGACAAATAGCTAACTCTGATCGAGATCTTGAACTGGATCAATTTTTCTAATATTTATTTAAATAATCAAACAATCTAAATTACATTCTAATTAATAGAAATATTGTTTATGTCTTGTTTAGTCGCGGAAATATAGTATAGTCTTGTTTAATAGGTTCGATGCATTTAGTTGAATACGTTCCTCCATATTTACTTGTACATTCCGGTTCCGTTAAGAGGCAGCAAAAGCAAAATTTATGATTACATGTGTTACATGTGTGATATTTACACTTTTCATCATAGCCACCTGGAGTAGAACATTGTGGACAACAGCGTCGATTAGGTATTTTGAGATCGGGGCTATATGCGAATTTTACAAGATTAAAATTGATCATTGTTTCATAGTAACAATTACCACTGGAACAAGTATATTTAGTAGAATGGCGCATCGTTTCATCATTCCAGTTTTTGTTGCAAAAGAAGCAAAAGTCACGAGAACATTTTAAGCATCTTTGTTTTGGATACATTGTTTCATTGATAACGAGGGCACCACATGTGCAAACTTGACAATCGATATGTTTCAGAAGATTCTGAAGTTCCTCGTATGATCGTAATGATGCAATAAATTCATGAGTGACAAATATGTCCTTTGGAGCAATAATAGCTGGACATATAAGACATTTAATCTGAAGATTCTTACTCTTGAAATAAGTTGTAAAACATTCTTCACATATCATGGAACAACACAATTTAATACATTTATTGTTTAGATAACAGATAGAACATTGATATTGTGTCTTTTTTATTTTTTTCAGTTCGTTTGGAAGATCAGCATAAATAATATCAATAAAAGTTGCTATGTCGAGGAAGCCTCCACCACGAAGACGAGCAAGAACAAAAATTGTTTTATCATCTGTAATCTTTGACTTTTGTTCATTAAATTGATCTTCATGTTCCAAATCAAGTTGAGTACCATCAACAACAAAACGATATCCATTGGTTGATTCAAATGCTGCAGTAACAACTTTTTTAAATTCAGCTAAATCAAAATCATCTTTGATCATTGTAGGTATCGATTTACCTGCAAAATTTTGAAATGTAATGTTCAGCATTGTACAATCTATTTTGTGTGTTTTGATTAAGAGAGAGAGTAATTGATACCAATGAAGTATAGTAAAGAATTAAACAATTCTTTTAAATACAAAATGAAAATTTTATATACTTTTTTTATTATTTCACAATTTCATGAGAAGAACGACGAGTTTATAGTCAAATGAAATGAGAAAAAACCTTGTGACACATAAAGGATAAAGCAAACAATGGAAAAAGTTATCTTACGACTGCATAATGCTGGTTTGTTCCAGCTCAAACAAAAAAATGAGTCATAACAAAAGCGTCAGCACACAGAAAAAAAACAGTTGTTGCGACGATCGTCAGCTTTATGTTTACTTAATGGCAAAAAAAACAAATACTCTTCTTACCTGATGCGTCGATTTCTTTTTTTAAAGAAAAAAAGTACGTAGAAAATAGTTGAAGTCGGTGCGTCACAAGAAACAATCCTGTTCCTACGTCCAACGAAAAACTGTATTGTTATAGGAGTATTCCGACGTAATCAAAAAGTTTCCTAATGACACAATATGCACTAAGGTGAATTTTATATGCATAAAGACAAAAAATGAATAATGTTTGCCTGAGCAAGACACTGATATTTTATTTATGTTATTGAAATTTCTGCCTATTCGATAAAATTTATAATAATATAAAACTAAGAAATCCCACGCTTTAGCTTTATTGATAAAAAAAATGAACGAAAAATGAATTGATATTTAGTCGCAGCGTAAGAACGATTTCTGTTCCTAAAAAATCTGAGTTTGAAAGAATATATAACAAAATCGCCAATGCAATTGCATTAAAAAAAAAGACATACTGACTTTACAGATCTTAGTGAACACAAAGTAAAAGGATAGATAGCTCAGAGGTGAACGAATTAAAACGACAAATATCACTTTCGTATGATAGCAGCTGAAGTATGTAAATCAAGGTTTCGTGTGGAATGGAATGGAACGGAAAAAGTGGTCCCATGGGGTGGGGTATATTTCAAAAATTGTCTGTCCCACATGAGATAAGATAATTCTAAAAGAATCTCGCGTTCCGTCCCATGAGACCTCATACTCGTCAAATTGTATTTAAAAAAACTACATTTTGTACATATACTTATCTGTTTGTCTAATTCTGAAAACATTATATTATTTCACCTTGTATTTTATAATTTTATCACAATCAAATTCGCAATTTTTCGTATCTGTTATGACTTGCATCATTCCGAATACAGGTCATAATAGTTAGTGTTGCCGCAAATTGTATGTGCGCTATTCTTTGTCATTTATCAAAATAAATTTTAAAAAATCGACACTTGTCCTTTTATACTAAATTAAGACTCGTTAAAAATTGGATTTATTCATATGAATCAATGAGGCTTACGAAGATTTTGTGTTGTGAAATTCTAGAAATCTCTAGGAATTTATAAATCATAGGCATAGCCAAATGTTAGTTCATGACAGAGAGGTCAAGCTAGCTATAATACAAAGATATTGAACATAGCAAACTTATGTTAACTTTTAATAATTCATTAAGCCATTAAAAGCAAGCATGAGTTTGCTTTGTTCAATATCTTTGTATCATAGTTAGTTTGACCTCTCTCTCCTGAAATAACATTTGGTCATGCCTATGATTCATAAATTCTTAGAGATTTTTAGATTGCCACAGCAAAAAATCTTCGTAAGCCTTATTGATTCATATAGATAAATCCCAATTTTAACGAGTTTAATTTAGTATAAAATTTATTATTAATGCTGTTTGAAATGGCAGCACTATACTCCTGGACAAATATTGTTATATATCCTGTATAAATAGCTGTTTATGTCATGGAATGGGATAGTCCCATCCTATTCCATTCCATCCCATTAGCCGTTTCGTCAAAAGCTTGCGTTCCGTCCGCCTCATGAGATGGGGCCATTCTACAACACGCGGAGCCCTGATATAGATATATGCAAAATCCGTGAGATTTTTTTTTTGAGTATGCTTTATTTATTTGTTACGTCCGAGGACGCTTACAATGAATCTGTGAGATCAAGTCAGATTATACTTAACATCCGAAAATATTACTCGAAGAGCTAACTTGGCGATTGATAATCCTGTAATTTGAGTTTGGTTACCAGATTTTGTTTGAAAACGCATAAAAACTTTCTTTCAGGTTAGTTAAAGTCTCTAAACGCCTCAGCAAACTATGAATTAATGAGCTTTTAACGGAAGTTTATATCATAATAATACTTGCTGCCATCTTCGACCGTATTCCCTTTCCTCTGATTGAAATAATAGTGTTGTATAGACAATTTTGCAGTTCTAATAACTCTGTTGATTTTTAATTGCAATTTGCTGATAATGCAAGAAGCTTTTGGATTCTTAACAAATGTATTCTAGTTTGTATTTGTCTCAAAGTTGGTAGAATACCTGCGATTTATGTGTGTGTAGAAAATTCGATATTAGTAGATTGATTCCAAACCATCATCCTTTTCCTTGTGTGAGAAAAAAAAGAGCTCCTGTAGAAGAAAAATCTATCATTATTATCAGTGTCAGCTTGATTGAAAGCTGTGAATGCTTGATTTGTTGTCACACATCGATACTAACGAAGCTCGAAAATCAGTTTTAGGTGTTTTTATTAAGAAGTGCAGATGCTACATTAAATAGAAGAAATCGTTCGATTACGTTTACTGGAAGAATTTTTTATTTAGTACTCCTGTTTAGAAATTCAAAATTTGTCTTTACATCGTAAACTCGATCAGAATGTAAACATTCAAATAACGCTCTAGAGAAATCATTAAGATTCAGTACTTAGATATTGGCTTAGGATTTACGTTTGATACATTCAGTTTTATGATATTCCTCACTAAGTCTATTTAAATTGATATCTAAATCTTTGATCACGATAATTGTACAAATAAATGCTGAGTATTTTTAGAACGTTTGAATATTGGATTTCCAAATGTTCAAAAGTCTAAATTTTATAATTATCTAAATATGTTTAGTCGCTTTTTTTGACTAAAAATAATGTGATCATAATATCTCTAAAATGAATTTGACCATATGTGAAGAAAGATTCATAAAAAACTTATACTCAATTTTCATTCTTTTTTTTTATAGAGGTACGAGTTAGTTGTATTAAAGCATAAAAACAAATGAGTATCATATTTCAAAGCTGTTTTCATTTTTTTCTCGACTGAGATAGACTAATATGTATGCATTTCGAGACACAACATTATCATCATTGTATAATTGAGTAACACGACTATCGTCGAACAGATACCATGGTTCGTCAATTCTTTGACGAGCATAAGCTGTGTAATGACCACTATAGACTGAGCCCATATGGTTGCTAACTGCAATAAGATCATAAATCATGTTTGTGTGACACGAGGTTTCGTGTGAATAAAATTCCCTCAAATCAAGCCCATTTATAGGACAGTTGACGTACGTATCGAGCTTTCGTGTATATCCATTTTCATCAATAAATCTTTTTAGTTGCACAATAAGAACAGAAGGCAATGTACATAACTGTATTTGTCTGACAGCATTTGTTTGCTGTTTACATTCATCCTGACAAAACCAAAGCTTGTCGATTAGCTCAATGGTTAAAAATTCGCGTATACATTTATTGAGTGTAAGATTATCTTCAAATCGTGGCGCAGGAGAATAAAAAGGGGCTTGATAATCGTAACCTTCATCGCATATGGTGATTTCGTGTTCGAGAATTTCACCTAATAATTTTGTCATTGAATAATTCTCAGCTGAATGAGCCTGAGATAATACACAAAGGCGTCGACCTCTTAATCCTTTTAGTTCAGCAAACATTTGTACGAGATTTTCAACTGATCCATTTGAAGGAACTTCAATAGAAACAATACTTGTGTTACCATCGCGAGAGATGAAGTGAATTTCAAAGGAACGTTTCTTTTGAACAAGAGATAAAGGAAGAAAACTGATAACATTTGAAGTTACTTTACGGTTTTTTCTACATTTAAGACAAATAGTCGTGGATTGAATAGTGCCATGGAATAGTTTCTTTATAATGGTATTTTCATTTTTTGTATTGCTTTTCATATCATTGTGAATAGCGTTCAATAAAAAGCTAATAAATTCTTGAGCATCCTGTTGTTCATATGTGGAAAATTGTGGAGCCGTTTGTCCTATTATGTTACGAAGACGGGTTGGCGAAAAAATTGAGGAATTACCCTTCCACATGTTCCATATAAACTCCGCATAAGCACGAGTCATCTCGCCATAAATGCTGATTTGATCTAAATTATTGTCATTATTAACATCTATGTTGGTTAATTTGTTGAAAAAATATATGGTTAGTGGTGTTACATGACTAAGACACTGGAGAGCACTATTCATGAAACATGTATTGCCTAAATTACGTAAACCGACAGGTGGAGAGCGTGTTAATAGTCGGTTTCCATTTGTTTCTGATCGTTCAGATTTTGTTTTTGATGACGATTGACTTTGATTATTGATCATATCATTCTGTGCTGATGATTGTTTAAGTAGTTTATTTGATTTTATCACAAGATCTGCTTTAATCTCTGCCTTTTCTTTGATTCCTAATTCAGATAGAAAATGGTTATCATCTAATTCATCGAAATTTATTCCATTAAATGACAAAGTAATATCGTCTGCTTGCAAAGACTTTTTTCTCTCTTTTATATATTGATCGATGATTTTTTCTTTTAAATCAAGAAGAATTCGAATTGTCGATAAATCAATGTTTAATATTTGTTGCAGAAATGAACAATTTACCGCAATATAACGTTTTGTGTACGGTTTTGATATTTTTATAGAAAAATCTGATGCCTCCTGTTTGAGGTTTGGTTCCTCTGACTCTATAAAAAGAACAAATAACAGATACTTTGTACCAATATCCAGATCAATCAATTTCTTATTTGCGAAATCTTTGATATTCAGCTCACAGTTTGTTGTTTTCAGCTTTAAACAAGAAGGATCAATATTGTCCAAAAGAAAAGTATTAATAACAGCTGAGAAAAGATATTGAACAGTAGCATCACGAGGTAACGTATAATTACAATGTTTATTAACTTTCGAATATCGTACTGCTATAGACTGAAGATAACTGCTAGTAGACGTTGTCGTTGTTGGACTATGTTTTTCGACGTTTTCATGTGTACGATATTCGAAACGCAAATAAGCATTTGAACTAATGTTTAATTCATGTAAAGTAGTTGAGGGTCCGCAATCAATAATGGGAATTATTATGTTATTTGTTTTGATCTGTGTTAAAGCAATGTCACGACATGATATAGAGAGTTTGAGCTCATTAATCAAATGTATAATGATTGTTTCAAGCGTTGTGTCAGGTGAAAATCGTGCAGATATTTGCTCTGATGACGCTGTGTGTGTTTTCACATATTCTAAATAGAGTTCGATTCCACTATTTTTATGAGATGAACCAGCAAAAGTGGAATGAGAAGAACCATTATGGCTGTTATTTGAATCGTTTTCAATGTCAATGAAATTTGTAAGATATACAATTTTTTTGTGCAATCGTTGAGCGTTTGGTTGTATTTTAGTGTCGATACATGTTGAGCAAACTTTATCAACTGTGAGAAATATGTTCATTATATGAGTTAAAACTCAATATTTCTTTATTACTTACGGATATAAAAACGGCAACAGTTTGTAGAGTCTTCAATGAATTTTGCTGCTGTTATTGTAGCTTTCCACAGTGGCTTTGCATCGCGACAACTATAACAGCACCTGCAATACGACATTTTTTGAAACTTTTTTTCGTAAACAATATCTAAAACAAATATAAAAATAAACGACAATTTAAGAGCAAAGATATATAATGAAAATGGAAGTTTTATGGATGATTTGAATGAAAAAGTATATCAGTGGTTACCACCATTATCAAATGCAAGATTACGACATCCAAAATGTTGTCGAGCTGCGATCTTTTTAGTCACAATTTTTAATTTCTTGTGAAAGTTATTTGTCTGTCTCAAACTTTGAATTTTGATGAACAGAATCATGCGCTTGCTGCGCTTTTACATTTATCTTTTTGGATAATTTGAAGATCTATTTCTTACTTACTCTATAAATACACGTCATTTTTAACATAAGAAAAAATCCATCCCATATGAGTCTTTTTTTTTTCTTTTCGCTCTTTCAATCTTTCTGCAACAGGAAAATAAAAAGAACGACCTCTCGTCGTCTACTCCAGAAAGTAAATTGCTATCACCCTTTTTTTTTCTTTCCTTTCTATTACACCTCTCGGTAAAAAAGTTGCGTCCCGTTGTTTTTACGAAAAATCCTTCAAACACTGATAAGATTACATAGTAGGGTGTGGGTGTGGGTGGGTGTGGGTGTGGGTGCGGGTGTGGGTGGGTGTGGGTGTGGGGG